GTTTTAAAATAAAGTGCTCTTAATTCTAGACAGATACGTTGTTAAAAAAAAAGAAGAAAAGAATAACAGGGGGGAGATAAAATCTGACTAGCTTACTAAAGACATAGATTAAAATCGGGAATAGATGCCAGGAGTGTAAGAAGTTTAAATTCACAGATAAGTCAGCAAGTTTTTTGTTTTGTTTTTTAAGTATGTTAAATGTAAGCAAAATGTTGAAATTCAGATTGAGTCGGTAACCCTTTCACTACTGTTGAGATGTCCCAGTGCGTGTCTGTGAAGGACTGGTGGGTCCCATATGTCTTATAATCATTCATATGTGATAGCATAGGGTAGCACTTTGATGTTCTCTATTTATTTAATTTTTGTATGTTGTGGCTAAAACGTAATCAAAATACGACTTTATATGTCTCAGGAACATTTTAAGAGTAAATAACATATTTTTTTCAGAAGTGAACAAATAAACAAACAAACAATATATATACATATATATTCGTGACAAAAACCTGATGATGAAAAAACCTTGTCGAAATGTTGTACATTTGCTGTTATGTTGAACTTATATTAAAGTTTTTCTTCATTACCCATTCGAGCCGTCTCCAACCATTATCAAACAATATATATAGTTTCCACACACAACTGCTAGGACACCTGTAACTCAAGAACAATGTATGTCGGAACACGCTCGTCCCATATGCAAAGTTCAGAAGCTGTATGTGGAAAACAAATTCAGAAAGTATTCTTTATGTAACCTAGATAATTGATATCATTTCTGTTTTAAGAATATAAGAGTGATACCGAAAGGATGCTGATCACAAAAGGTTTTATGGAATGTCTATTGTACAAAATGTAAGAGAATTGTTACTGGAGAATAAATATGAAACGTAAATTATATGCTAACACTAATAATGATGAAAGTGGAGCACAAGTGTGATTTTATACACACACACACACACCCCTTACCAAGTTGATTTCCTGAAAAATTAAGGGTGGATGTGCAAGTACAGATGACCCCTTGATGTCTGCAGGTTTTGTTCTAAAGAAATTTCTTGTTACTACTAGACAGAACAGACCTCGTCTGTTTAATTTCTAAGTTCAAGGGAGGTCCAGTTCAATCTACACTTTGATCAACATCTGTTATTGGGTTTATACTAGTTTCGGAGAATTCTACTCATCATCAGTATCCCTGAACACGAGTTAACCAAAGATAAGCTGGACCTATATCATAGTGAAAAGTATCAAACATATTGTTGGTGTGAACGTGCTTTATAATCACTATAAGAAAAACCTATACACTGGATAGGCGAAGTGTATAGATTTTCCTCATAGTGAATACAAAACATGTTCACACCAACAATATGTTTGACTGACTAGTACTATTCTTTGAGGACCAAAAATGAAAGTTTTCTTGTAAGATAAAAGACTGTACAGTTATTTTATGCCTAAAAGATTTCTTAACCAACATCCCTTAGCCATAATGTGGAGTTTAAACAAATCTCGGGAGCAACACCCGAAATGATCTTCTTGAATAAAGCAGGTCAGGAGATTGAGGTAGGTATAATTAATGTTGTTCTAATCGTCTCAATAATTCATTGACACTGATGTTTACGAAGGCCAGAAGTGGTCAAACAACAAGAGTCTGTCTGGTACATTGAGGACACCATTTAAATAAACAAATCATTGACCCTAAAATTGTCACAAAAATTGTGAAAAACGTAGTTTAAGAAAAAAAACTAACAACATATTTGTTATCTTTATGTTTTTAAGATTCAAATGAATGAAAGTCAGTGTTTCTTTAATAATTAATTTTTTCTTTCATCATAGAGGATTGATTTGAGTGAAAAGAACCAGAAAGAATGTCAAAAACTTTTACACGACCGAGGTTTCTATCTCAAAAAACATGAGAATGAAGAAGTCCCTCCTGAATTCAAGGATGCACCATACACTAGAAAAGAAACAGAATTATAAATATTTATGCTTTATTTAATATAATTCTTAGCTTTGTTTTCACACCAATCTTTAATTTTTTTATCAAAGAAATTCCATTTGATTTTATCTGAGATGTTAAATATTTTTCTTTGTACCTAACAGTTGAACAATGAAAAGGTATTTTTTTTATTTCTAAAAGTTGTGTAAATATTCCTAAACTGAAGCTAAAACAATAAGTTCTCTAACTCTTAGAAAAAAACGAAATTCAATAATATTCTGTATCTTTCATTCACCATCTAATTTTAATTTGTTTTGTTGGTGTTAAAACGATTCCTGTCCTTGGGAGAGAGAGAAAAAAAGCATTAACACACTTCTTGTCATCATAAAATAGTTGTAATATTTTATAATAACCAGGTTACAGTTTGAATACAAGGGAACTGAAGATGAATTTTAATGAAACTATGAGAGAGCTTTTTATTTTCAATAAAGTATTTGAAAATCATTTTTATATTTAATGTACATGGGCAACTAGGCTTAAGATTTTATATAGTTATAATTGCGTAAACTATCAACTAGGCTTAAGATTTTATATAGTTATAATTGCGTAAACTATCAACTAGGCTTAAGATTTTATATAGTTATAATTGCATAAACTATCGTAAGTATTAACTTTTTATATCTAGTAAGTTTCTAATCTAAGAAATGCATTAAAAATTATGTTTTCATAGTGTGTTAAAGTTTTTTTTCTCTGACTTTCGTTTACTTGGCTGGTTACAAAAAGCATTTTTTAATTTCTGTTATATTTCGTTCAGTGTGCTCATTGACCAATCTGTTCCCATAGACATTGTGATTTATGAGTATACAACTCTATGTTATTTTTTCAATTGAGTCTTTAGAAAGCTATTAACAAACTTCAATTATTTCTATAACAGAAAAATGCATCCCACTATTACATTTAGAAACATTTTAAGAGAAAAAAAAAACTAATGTTACAGAAAATGTCAGATAAGACCACAGATGTCATTGGGAAAAAACACTTTTTCATAAGACACTGTTGTTTAAAACTGGCAGTTAATTAAGTTATTTTTTCTTCATTTTTTATGAAGATTTTCACTTTTTGTCAACCTTCAATGTCGCTTTATAAATAATGGTAACATTGGCTGTTTATCCTGCTATTATATTCAGTTCTTTAAATATTTTTTTAAGCAAGCAAAATTAAGATTAATTAATTGTTAAACAATTCACATTTAGGTTTTTAAAGTAATTTTTAGTGACAGAATATTGTTTTGTATTTTTTTATGGTATATAAAACTAAGAAGACAGATAATTATTGCTGTTTATGAGAACGTAAAATGAATAGTCAAAAAGTAAATGGATAAAAGAATTATTTCTCAGACATTGATAATTACTTCTATCTCTAATCTTTATCTTTGTAAACTGAAGATTGTAATGGTAACTAGTGTTGATGACTTAGCTCTAACAGGATAATACATTTTTTCTTTTGTTTACTCACGTTGGCAGGTTTTTTTTTTATTATTAGCTCTTACTTTTTTTAAATTATAACTCTCATTTTTAAGCCTGCCCTTTCTCTCTCTCGACTGAGCACAGTATGAATGTTATTACCGTTAGTATAATACTTTTCGTGTAGTTTAATATAGGAAGAACTAACTGATCTCAAAGTTCAAGCCGTTATTGTTGTGAATTTATGAAACTACAGACTGAAAATGGTAAGGTCTGTGGTGGATATTTTGTCATGATGAAATGGTTTTATAAGTGAGATGGCTAGTCTCGGATAGTATTATAACAAATCATTGTTCGTGTCAGTACTAGTGATTATTCGGTATGATAATGTATTATAACTTCCTGCTAATGTTACAATAAATTCCATTTCCTTATCTGTGTATCCTTTTTTGTTGTATTCGCATCAGAAACAAAGGCTACCGTCTAGTGCAGTGTTCACACACATGGCTATCTTAGTTTGTTCAGCTTTGAATGACACCTATGCGTTAGGGAATGTTTCAACTTGTACAACTATCGAACGATCTCGTTCCAAACGAGAGCAATCGGAGAGATAGCATTACTCTCGCCCCACCGCTCCTTTTCGAGATTGCATGCATTTATAGTAGACTAGACCACCCGTGACCCGTTGGGTCACCCACTATTCAGAGGTTATGAAGAATTCAAGCTAATTTCAATATCGCACCGAAATGAAGGTTTATTTTGAGATAATTTAATTAAATATTTCAATCCATTCGTGTTGTTCACAATTCAAGAAAAGATATTTGATTGTTGATCGGGAGTAAAAGAAAAGACCATTTCATTTTTCAAATGTGAAGTCAGAGTTTTCAGGTATTGTGATGAATTAATTCATTATGTTGTGGTCTTTCCTCTTAAACCTTCTACAAATAAGAAACAGTAACACTTTATTTTTCTTCGAATTACCTA